TCAAATAGATATAACAAACTCATCTCCTGTTACCCTTTAAATTCTTGAAGACTCTTTGTTTTCACTTTCAACCAGTCACAACATTTTACTTTCTTTTTCTTCTTCGTGCAGAGCCGCAACTAACTTTTGCAAAATGATATTCGCATTATCAAAGGGAGAGTGAAGTGCAAGAAATGCCAGCAAGAATTCGAGATGCTGCTTGATCTAGAGGAAAAAGTGTCTACATTACGAGAATTCGTTGATAGGGAAAGAGAGACCTTGCGTGATAGGGCACCACGGGCTTGGATAAAACCGGAGTTGCCAAAATATTCGAAATGCGGAAAAGAAAATAACATTAAACCCATTCTCAAGGAGATAAAGAAAAAGGCCATTAAATGGTTGTTGTAGTTGCTCAGCCAACTGCTAAGTTCTTGCACCATTGATCAACTCAAATATTTCTGCAAGCACACCAATAACCGTCCAATTGGTGCCAAAGATCAACTGGTACCAAATTAATTGGAATAATTAACTTGGAGTACATTTTGTCCGTTTTAATTTGGCTACATTTTGTCCATTTTAATTCTCCTTTATTGCAGAATAATGTCAAATAATATCAGCGATATGAGGGAGATAATTTAGCTTGTAGTTTAAGATCTGTAGCTGTCATATACTTGTAAATAATTACCTATTGATCAATAGAATGTGACTCACGATTCTATTTTCATAACTTTCTTACCTTGCGTGATAGGGGACTAGCGGCTTGGCTAAATCCAGAGTAGCGAAAATGTTCACAATGAGGAAAAGAAAATTGTATCAAACCTATTCTCAAGGACATCAAGAAAAAGGCAATTAATTGGTTGTTCTTGTTGCTCAGCCAACTGCTAAGTTCTTGCACCATTGATCAACTCAAATATTTCTACAAGCACACCAATAACCGTCCAACTGGTGCCAAAGATCACCTTCATTACCTTATTTATATGAGTCTCTTGAAACATCTTGTCCCTGAATGGTTTGCTTAATTCTTGATTTAGACGTGCAATTCTTGATTATTCTTGTTTATTCTCTTAATTTGTCTTCAAATAGATATAACAAACTCATCTCCTATTACCCTTTATATACTTGAAGACTCTTTGTTTTCACTTTCAACCAGTCACAACATTTTACTTTCTTTTTCTTCTTCGTGCAGAGCCGCAACTATCTTTTGCAAAATAATATTCGCATTATCACAGGGAGAGTGAAGTGCAAGAAATGCCAGCAAGAATTCGAGATGCTGCTTGATCTAGAGGAGAAAGTGTCTACATTACGAGAATTCGTTGATAGGGAAAGAGAGACCTTGCGTGATAGGGCACCACGGGCTTGGGTAAATCCGTAGTTGCCAAAATATTCGAAATGCGGAAAAGAAAATAACATTAAACCCATGCTCAAGGAGATAAAGAAAAAGGCCATTAAATGGTTGTTGTAGTTGCTCAGCCAACTGCTAAGTTCTTCCACCATTGATCAACTCAAATATTTCTGCAAGCACACCAATAACCGTCCAATTGGTGCCAAAGATCAACTGGTACCAAATTAATTGGAATAATTAACTTGGTGTACATTTTGTCCGTTTTAATTTGGCATAAATTTTGTCCGTTTTAATTCTCCTTTATTGCAGAACAATGTCAAATCATATCATTTATATGAGGGAGATAATTTAGCTTGTAGTTTCTCAGCCAACTGCTAAGTTCTTCCACCATTGATCAACTATTGGTGCCAAAGATTAACTGGTACCAAATTAATTGGAATAATTAACTTGGAGTACATTTTGTCCATTTTAATTTGGCTACATTTTTTCCGTTTTAATTCTCCTTTATTGCAGAATAATGTCAAATCATATCAACGATATGAGGGAGATAATTTAGCTTGTAGTTTAAGATTTGTAGCTGTCATATACTTGTAAATAATTACCTATTGATCAATAGAATGTGACTCACGATTCTATTTTCATAACTTTATTACCTTGCGTGATAGGGCACTAGCGGTACGTACAATTCTTGATTATTCTTGTTTATTCTCTTAATTTGTCTTCAAATAGATATAACAAACTCATCTCCTATTACCCTTTATATACTTGAAGACTCTTTGTTTTCACTTTCAACCAGTCACAACATTTTACTTTCTTTTTCTTCTTCGTGCAGAGCCGCAACTATCTTTGCAAAATATTATTCGCATTATCACAGGGAGAGTGAAGTGCAAGAAGTGCCAGCAAGAATTCGAGATGCTGCTTGATCTAGAGGAGAAAGTGTCTACATTACGAGAATTCGTTGATAGGGAAAGAGGGACCTTGCGTGATAGGGCACCACGGGCTTGGATAAATCCGGAGTTGCCAAAATATTCGCAATGCGGAAAAGAAAATAACATTAAACTCATTCTCAAGGACATAAAAAAAAGGCCATTAAATTGTTGTTCTAGTTGCTCAGCCAACAGCTAAGTTCTTGCACCATTGATCAACTCAAATATTTCTGCAAGCACACCAATAACCGTCCAACTGGTGTTGAAGATCACCTTCATTACCTGACTTATATGAGTCTCTTGAAACAACTTGTCCCTGAATGGTTCACTTAATTCTTGATTTAGACGTACAATTCTTGATTATTCTTGTTTATTCTCTTAATTTGTCTTCAAATAGATATAACAAACTCATCTCCTATTACCCTTTATATACTTGAAGACTCTTTGTTTTCACTTTCAACCAGTCACAACATTTTACTTTCTTTTTCTTCTTCGTGCAGAGCCGCAACTATCTTGTGCAAAATAATATTCGCATTATCACAGGGAGAGTGAAGTGCAAGAAGTGCCAGCAAGAATTCGAGATGCTGCTTGATCTAGAGGAGAAAGTGTCTACATTACGAGAATTCGTTGATAGGGAAAGAGAGACCTTGCGTGATAGGGCACCACGGGCTTGGATAAATCCGGAGTTGCCAAAATATTCGCAATGCGGAAAAGAAAATAACATTAAACCCATTCTCAAGGACATAAAGAAAAAGGCCATTAAATGGTTGTTCTTGTTGCTCAGCCAACTGCTAAGTTCTTGCACCATTGATCAACTCAAATATTTCTGCAAGCACACCAATAACCGTCCAACTGGTGCCAAAGATCAACTGGTACCAAATTAATTGGAATAATTAACTTGGTGTACATTTTGTCCATTTTAATTTGGCGTACATTTTGTCCGTTTTAATTCTCCTTTATTGCAGAATAATGTCAAATCATATCAACGATATGAGGGAGATAATTTAGCTTGTAGTTTAAGATTTGTAGCTGTCATATACTTGTAAATAATTACCTATTGATCAATAGAATGGGACACACGATTCTATTTTCATAACTTTGTTACCTTGCGTGATAGGGCACTAGCGGCTTGGCTAAATCCGGAGTTGCCAAAATGTTCACAATGAGGAAAAGAAAATAGCATCAAACCTATTCTCAAGGACATCAAGAAAAAGGCCATTAATTGGTTGTTCTTGTTGCTCAGCCAACTGCTAAGTTCTTGCACCATTGATCAACTCAAATATTTCTGCAAGCACACCAATAACCGTCCAACTGGTGCCAAAGATCAACTGGTAATAAATTAATTGGAATAATTAACTTGGTGTACATTTTGTCCGTTTTAATTTGGCGTACATTTTGTCCGTTTTAATTCTCCTTTATTCCAGAATAATGTCAAATCATATCAACGAAATGAGGGAGATAATTTAGCTTGTAGTTTAAGATCTGTAGCTGTCATATACTTGTAAATAATTACCTATTGATCAATAGAATGGGACACACGATTCTATTTTCATAACTTTGTTACCTTGCGTGATAGGGCACTAGCGGCTTGGCTAAATCCGGAGTTGCCAAAATGTTCACAATGAGGAAAAGAAAATAGCATCAAACCTATTCTCAAGGACATCAAGAAAAAGGCAATTAATTGGTTGTTCTTGTTGCTCAGCCAACTGCTAAGTTCTTGCACCATTGATCAACTCAAATATTTCTGCAAGCACACCAGTAACCGTCCAACTGGTGCCAAAGATCAACTGGTACCAAATTAATTGGAATAATTAACTTGGTGTACATTTTGTCCGTTTTAATATGGCGTTCATTTTGTCCGTTTTAATTCTCCTTTATTGCAGAATAATGTCGATTCATATCAACGATATAAAGGAGATAATTTAGCTTGTAGTTTAAGATCTGTAGCTGTCATATACTTGTAAATAATTACCTATTGATCAATAGAATGGGACACACGATTCTATTTTCATAACTTTGTTACCTTGCGTGATAGGGCACTAGCGGCTTGGCTAAATCCGGAGTTGCCAAAATGTTCACAATGAGGAAAAGAAAATAGCATCAAACCTATTCTCAAGGACATCAAGAAAAAGGCAATTAATTGGTTGTTCTTGTTGCTCAGCCAACTGCTAAGTTCTTGCACCATTGATCAACTCAAATATTTCTGCAAGCACACCAGTAACCGTCCAACTGGTGCCAAAGATCAACTGGTACCAAATTAATTGGAATAATTAACTTGGTGTACATTTTGTCCGTTTTAATATGGCGTTCATTTTGTCCGTTTTAATTCTCCTTTATTGCAGAATAATGTCGATTCATATCAACGATATAAAGGAGATAATTTAGCTTGTAGTTTAAGATCTGTAGCTGTCATATACTTTTATATAATTACCTATTGAGCAATAGAATGGGACACACGATTGTATTTTGATAACATTGTTATCTTGCGTGATAGGGCACTAGCGGCTTGGCTAAATCCGGAGTTGCCAAAATGTTCACAATGAGGAAAAGAAAATAGCATCAAACCTATTCTCAAGGACATCAAGAAAAAGGCCATTAATTGGTTGTTCTTGTTGCTCAGCCAAATGCTAAGTTCTTGCACCATTGATCAACTCAAATATTTCTGCAAGCACACCAATAAACGTCCAACAGGTGCCAAAGATCAACTAGTACCAAATTAATTCTCTTAATTTTTCTTCAAATAGATATATCAAACTCATCTCATATTACCCTTTATATACTTGAAGACTCTTTGTTTTCACTTTCAACCAGTCACAATATTTTACTTTCTTTTTCTTCGTCGTGCAGAGCCGCAACTATCTTTGCAAAATATTATTCGCATTATCACAGGGAGAGTGAAGTGCAAGAAGTGCCAGCAAGAATTCGAGATGCTGCTTGATCTAGAGGAGAAAGTGTCTACATTACGAGAATTCGTTGATAGGGAAAGAGGGACCTTGCGTGATAGGGCACCACGGGCTTGGATAAATCCGGAGTTGCCAAAATATTCGCAATGCGGAAAAGAAAATAACATTAAACTCATTCTCAAGGACATAAAAAAAAGGCCATTAAATTGTTGTTCTAGTTGCTCAGCCAACAGCTAAGTTCTTGCACCATTGATCAACTCAAATATTTCTGCAAGCACACCAATAACCGTCCAACTGGTGCCAAAGATCAACTGGTACCAAATTAATTGGAATAATTAACTTGGTGTACATTTTGTCCGTTTTAATATGGCGTTCATTTTGTCCGTTTTAATTCTCCTTTATTGCAGAATAATGTCGATTCATATCAACGATATAAAGGAGATAATTTAGCTTGTAGTTTAAGATCTGTAGCTGTCATATACTTTTATATAATTACCTATTGAGCAATAGAATGGGACACACGATTGTATTTTGATAACATTGTTATCTTGCGTGATAGGGCACTAGCGGCTTGGCTAAATCCGGAGTTGCCAAAATGTTCACAAAGAGGAAAAGAAAATAGCATGTAACCTATTCTCAAGGACATCAAGAAAAAGCCAATTAATTGGTTGTTCTTGTTGCTCAGCCAAATGCTAAGTTCTTGCACCATTGATCAACTCAAATAATTCTGCAAGCACACCAATAACCGTCCAACTTGTGTCAAAGATCACTTTCATTACCTTTCTTATATGAGTCTCTTGAAACAACTTGTCCTTGAATGGTTCGCTTAATTCTTGATTTAGCCGTACAATTCTTGATTATTCTTGTTTAGTCTCTTAATTTGTCTTCAAATAGATATAACAAACTCATCTCCTATTACCCTTTATATACTTGAAGACTCTTTGTTTTCACTTTCAACCGGTCACAACATTTTAGTTTATTTTTCTTCTTCGTGCAGAGCCGCAACTATCTTGTGCAAAATAATATTCGCATTATCACAGGGAGAGTGAAGGGCAAGAAGTGCCAGCAAGAATTCGATATGCTGCTTGATCTAGAGGAGAAAGTGTCTACATTATGAGAATTCATTGATAGGGACAGAGAGACCTTGCGTGATAGGGCACCACGGGCTTGGATA